CCCAGGTGCTCCAGCCCCAGTGTCCAGCCTGGCCTTGGGCACTGCCAGGGATCCAGGGGCAGCCACAGCTGCTCTGGGAATCCCAGCCCAGCCAGGAATTCCCAATTCCCAATCTCCCATCCATGCCTGCCCTCTGGCAGTGGGAGCCATTCCCTGTGTCCTGTCCCTCCATGTCAATTCTCTCTCTCCATCTCTCCTGCAGCTCCCCCAGGCACTGGAAAGCCCCAGTGAGGTCACCCCAAAGCTTCTCCTGTCCAGGGTGAACAATCCCAGCTCTCCCAGCAGAGCTGCTCCATCCCTCTGCCCATGGAATGGTTTCATTTGGAAATTAAAGACCATTCCGTTCCAAGCCTCCTACATATTATCCATAGAATTGTGTAATAGAATAAAAAAATTGCATATTATTGCATTGTAACTTGCAACTTCTCTTGCCTGTTTGGGCCATTCCCTGTGTCCTGTCCCTCCATGTCAATTCTCTCTCTCCATCTCTCCTGCAGCTCCCCCAGGCACTGGAAAGCCCCAGTGAGGTCACCCCAAAGCTTCTCCTGTCCAGGGTGAACAATCCCAGCTCTCCCAGCAGAGCTGCTCCATCCCTCTGCCCATGGAATGGTTTCATTTGGAAATTAAAGACCATTCCGTTCCAAGCCTCCTGCATATTACTCCACGTATTATCCATAGAATTGTGTAATAGAATAAAAAAATTGCATATTATTGCATTGTAACTTGCAACTTCTCTTGCCTGTTTGGGCTGCTGCAGTGGAATAAAAGGGGAAAAAATCTCCTTCTGTCAGACCTGGGGGGGTTGGAATGCCCCCCTTTGTGGATTCCAGCATTGTGGATTCCTGGGAGCTCTTGGAGCAGGGGCCCAGCCCTGGGAATTCCTCCCTGACATTTCCCTGCTCTGCCCTTGCCCAGGGGATTGGATCCACTACGACCAGAACAGGAATGAGCAGAAGAGGAGCACAGGCAGTGAGTGACCCTGCAGATGCTGGGCTGGGACCCCCCTTCCCCTCCCTGGGCACAGGGGACAGCAGTGACAGCACCTCTGCTCCCTCCCCAGGTGTGAAGAGGAGGAAGCCAGCCCTCAACATCCTGGAGGAAGAGGGGCTCCACAGCAAAAAGCAAAAAACTGGCAGCACTGCAGGTGGGAAGGGCTGGGAAAGGACCCGGCTGGGATTTGGTGTCCTGGGATTGGAAGTGAGCTCGTTTTCCAAAGGTTTTTCCCTGTGGAATGGTCTAGGCCTGGGGAAGAGCAGCTGGAAGGGTGGAAAAGGGGCTGGGGGTGATGGTTGGCAGTGGCTGGACACGAGCCAGGGGTGGCCAAGGAGGTCCTGGGGCTGTGATTGTCCCCTGTGCTGAGGCTGCCCCAGCCCTGGGGCACTTTTGGGTTCCTCACAAGGACATGGAGGGGCTGGAGTGTGTCCAGGGAAGGGAATGGGATTGGGAAAGGGGCTGGAGAATCCTGAGGGAGCTGGGAAGGGGCTGAGCCTGGAGAAAAAGGGGATCAGGGGGGACCTTGTGGCTCTGCACAACTCCTGCCAGGAGGGGACAGCCGGGGGGATTTGGGATCTTATCCCAGGGAACAGGGACAGGAGGAGAGGGAACGGCCTCAGGCTGGGCCAGGGGAGCCCCAGGGTGGATTTTGGGGAAAATCCAATGTTTTTCAGACGGAATGGGAGCAAAAAGCTTGACAGACCAACAGCTGCTGGTGATTGCCAAGCTCCTGGACCGGCACTGGAGGGAAATGGCCATCGAGTGTCTGCAGATGGAGATGAAGGACATCGATGACATCCGGGCCATGGAGGAGGACGTGACCATGCAGAAACTCCTGGTGCTGAGGAAGTGGAGAGAGAGGGAGCAGGGCCGTGGGACTGCAGAGGCTTTGCAGAGGAGCCTGGGGGAAAAAGCCACCTACGAGATCCTGCAGGCGCTGCAAGGTACCAGCTCCCGGGGACTGAGCCCACCCTGGCTCAGCTGGGGTGGGAATTCCATCAGGGAATTTACCAAATCACCAGTGCACGGATTGTCGTGGAGGTCAGGATTGTCTCCTTTCCCAGCAGCAGTGACTTTATTTCTTGTGGTGTTTTTATCCTTCAGGGACTGATACAAAATGAATATTTTTGCCAAGAGTGTGGAGAGCTCTCCCAGCATGACCTGGGTGTCCAGAGCAGTTCTTGGGATTTCCTGGAAGTCCAAAGAGGAGCTGTTTGGGTCTTTATTTGAGGAATGGTTAATTAATGGTTAATTAACACCTTCCGTGATGGAGGACTTGTTGGTTCCATCCCACGTGGGGATGGATTTCCCAAGGGAGCTCCTCCTCCTTTCCGTGGAGTTCTTATGTTCAGTTCACCTTCTGCAAATCCAGGTTATTCCAGGAGCTGGGAGTTTTCCCTGCCCATGGCAGGGGTTGGAATTAAATGACCTTTAAGGTCCTTTCCAACCCAGACCATTCCATAATTTTATTAACTCAGCCAGCCAAGGGGAACTGTCCTCAAAAAAATTTTTTTTTTTTTTTTGCAACAGCAAAACTTTGTTCCTTCTCAATTCCTTAACTTAGGACCAAAGGAAACGACCTCAGGTGGTGCCAGGGGAGGTTCAGATTGGATATTGGGAACATTCCTTCATGGAAAGGGCCCAGGCCCCCTCCATCCCTCCTGTGTGGAGGGGACACCTGGGGACGTGGGGCAGTGGTGGCCTGGGCAGTGCTGGGAATGGTTGGACTGGATGACCTTGGAAGCCTTTTCCAGCCTAATTCCATGATCAATTCTCCCTGGAAACAACCTGGGGATCCAGGAGAGCTCTCCCTCACCGACTCTGTGCCACAGCCTTGTGCTGCCTCAGGCCTTTAATACATTTATTTTTCAACTTAAATTATTTTTAAATCCAGTTTCTCTCAGTTTGAGTCTTGCAGGAGCTTCCAGAGATCCCACAGTCCAGGTGTGCTTTTCCTTTCCCTCAGGTTTCCTGGCTCAGAGCTGAGCCAGCTGGAAGGAGGAAGAGGAAGAGGAGGAAGAGGAGGAGGTGGGAGCTTCCCAGCCCAACCATTCTGCTCCCTGGGATCCTGCTGGGACTCAGGAATGTTCCTGGTGGGAAGTTCAGGCAGGATCTTCCAGAGAAACGGGAATGGAATTTGGGTAGGAGCCACTTCCAAGGCTTTCAGGAGAGGTGGATCCCGGAATTCTGGGTTTCACCCACAGGGAAAGCCACTCCAGGAGGGCACAAACACTGGAAGAAGCCACTTGATCTTTTTCATCACCTGGAAAAGATTTTTATTTCCGTCAGGGAAAAACAGGGAGAAGAATTCCCCTGGAAACTTTCATCCCCTTCCAAAAAACCACTGACCTGCCAGAATCGTGAGGTGCATTGGATTTCTCATGGATCAGGGAAGAATAATCCGAAACTTGTACCAAATTCCTTTGATAATCACTGTATATATGGAATTATTGTACAGATCCTGTGCATCCAGTCCTTGTTAAGCTGTGGTTCTGCTTCCTGAGATTCCCAAAGATGGGAACACCACTGTGAACTCCAGGCAGCTCAGAACTTCCACATGGAATTTCTTCTCCCCTCTTTTCTGTATAGCTTGTCTCCGTTTTTTACGTTGTATAATTCCTTTTTTGTATGAGAAACTTTTTATACTTTTTTAATTTTTTTTTTACTTGATTTATTCAAACTTGGATAGAATTTAGGTGCTTAAAATGTGAGGAGCCGAAATCCCTGTGCTGCAGGCTTGGAAAAAAATTGGGAAAAATGGAATTTGCAGAAGAGAGGAGTGACCAGATCCAGGACTGTCTTGTTTTTAAGGCTGTGGGATACTTGGGATCATTTTCCTCTGTGTATGTTTGGGAAAGGAAAGCATACTTTTGAAAAACAAGGATTAAACAGGAAAAAATTCCATTATTTCCATCTGAATTTTGATTTTTGTTGCAGTTGGATGAAGTGTTGGGAAGTTGTTGGTTTCCTGGGAAGAGGAGGAGGATGGAAGTTTTTCCTCAGCCTCTGGAAAAGCTGGAGGTGCCACCAAAGGCATCCAAGTGGTTTTTTGGGATAAAAGTCCCAAAATCTCCCATCCCATTCCAACCGCTGCCAGGGGCAGGGACACCTTCCCTATCCCAGGTGTTTCCAAGAGGGAAACTTGGATTTTGAAACCAGTTACAGGGAGCTGCCTTCCCATGCCAAAGTATTCCAAAGCAACATCCAAAGTATTTCAAAGGATTCATGGTGGGTCCCAAAGGACAAAAACATCACCGTGGTTTTGAAGGAAACCTTGATTTTATTAGGCAATAAATAGAATAAATAGGGAATATCATAAATAAATCATGGGCTAGAATGGAATATCATCATAAATAAATCAGGGAATAGAATGGAATATCATAAATAAATCCAGGAGTATCATCATAAATAAATCAAGGAATAGAATGGAATGTCATTGTAAGTGAAGGATTATCATAATAAATCAGGGATTATAATCATAAATAAATCAGGGAATATTATCAATAAATAATGAAATAGAATGGAATCTCAAATAAATCAAGGAATATAATCATAAATAAATAACGAAATAGAGTGGAATCTCAAATCAAGGAATATCATCATAAATAAATCAGGGCATATCATCATAAATGAAGGAATATCATCATAAATCATTAAATAGAATGGAATCTCTAGTCAAGGAATGTCATCATAAATCAGGGAACAGAATGGAATATCTTCCCAAATAAATAAATCAGGGAACAGAATGGAATATCATCCCAAATAAATCACAGAATAGAATATCCTGAGCTGGAAGGGATCCCCAGGAAAAGGAATTGCCATAAACAGCTCTCAGTCCCTGAGGAATCAGCAGAATAAATATGGAGAAATCAGAGTCAGGAACATTCTGGTGCTCGGATGTAGCTTAGATCCCAAAAGCCCGGGAATTTAACGTGGTTTAAAAGGCACAACTCCCTAAAAACAGCTCGTGGGAATTCCGTGGGATGCTCAGTGGGAGATTCCCGGGCTCAGGGGGAGCTGAGGAAGCTCAGCACCCTGCAGATGGTGATGCTGCGGACGCGCAGAGCCTGCAGGACCCCGCAGAGCCGCAGCCGCTCCGGGAACGGCGCCCATCCCAGTCCTGGGAATCCCAATGATCCCGATGGTCCCGATGGTCCTGATCCCAATGATCCCAATCCCGATGATTCCAATCCCAATGATCCCGATGCCGATGATCCCAGTCCCAATGGTCCCAATCCTGATGATCCCAACGATCCCGATGCCGATGATCCCGATGATCCCAATCCTGATGATCCCAACGATCCCGATGCTGATGATCCCAATCCCGATGATCCCGGTGATCCCGGTGATCCCGATGATCCTGATGATCCCGGTGATCCCGATGATCCCAGCGGCGCCTCCGGAACCCACCCGGTGCTGCTGCCCAGGGCCTGCACGGGGTTAGGAAACAGTTTAAACCCAAAAATTCCTGGGATTTTCACCCCCTCAGGGATGAGGGACGTAAGGATGGGTCAAGGGGAAAATTTGGGATGGTTAATTTATCATTAATAGGGAAAAATTTGGGATATGTAATTTATGGTGAATAGAGTGAAGGAAAATCTGGGATATTTTAATTTCTCATGAGGGGATATTTAATATTTGGGATATTTAATATTTGGGATATTTAATTTGTCATAAATAGAGTGAGGGAAAAATTTGGGATATTAAAATTAACAACAATAGACTGAGGGAAAGATTGGGGTATTTAATTTGTCATAAATAGAGTGAGGGAAAAATTTGGGATGTTTAATTTATCATTAATAGGGTAAAATTTGGGATATTTATCATTGATAGAGTGAGAGAAAAAATTTGGTCTATTTAATTTATGGTGAATGGACTGAGGGAAGAATTTGGGATATTTAATTTGTCATAAATAGAGTGAGGGAAAAAATTGGGATGTTTAAATTATTGGGAATAGAGTGAGGAAAGAATTTAGAATATTTAATTTATTGTGAATAGAGTGAGAGAAAAAACTGTGATCATTTATCATTAATAGGGAAGAATTTGGGATATTTAATTTGTCATAAATAGACCGAGGGAAAAATTTGGGATATTTAAATTATCATTAATAGACTGAGGAAAAAAATGGATATTTAATTTGTCATTATTAGGGTACATTTGGAAGTATTTAATGGTATCAAGAATAGACTGAGAATGAAAATTGAAATATTTAATTTGTCATGAATAGGGAAATTTTGGAAATATTTAATTATTGCATTAATAGGGTAAAATTTGAAATAATTATTAATAAGGGAAATTTTCAAATATTTCATGATAGCATTAAAAGAGTGAGGATAAAATTTGAAATATTTAATGATAGCATTGATAGGGTACATTTTGAAATATTTCTTTTACCCTGAATAGAGCAAGGGTAAAATTGGAAATATTGAATTGATCATTAATAAGGTAAATTTTGAAACATTTCACAATTGCATGAATAGACTGCAGATAAAATTTGAAATATTGAATCTTATCATTAATAAGGTAAAATTTCAAATATTTCATGATTGCATTTATAGACTGAGGCTAAAATTGGAATTATCAACATTTAATCCATCGTGTGTCACGCCTGGTGCACCAGGTCTGTTAGATTTCAATATATGGAGGAGAAATGGAGGTTTTCCTTCCCAATTTCCTGAATTTTGGGGTCTGTGGGGCAGGAATCCTCACCTCCATCATCCCATCGAGAGCTGCCAGCAGCTGGGGGTCGGGGAGGGTCCTCAGCTGTGCCCTGTAGGCTCTCACGTCCTCAGAGATGCCCTGCAGGCATTTTCCCTGGGGAAAAATAAATAGAATTGTCAGGAAATAAATAGAATTGCCAGGAAATGTGGGAATCTGCTGCTCCTTTAAACACACAACGAGCAAAAGAAGGAGATTGTTTGGGAAATTTCTATTTACCTCATCCAAAGTTGATTTTTCCAGGGTGGGGCAATTTCCAGGCTGCAAATTGAACAAGAATTAAGATTTGTGATTTAATGGGAGTGTGGATGATACATTCCATGAAAACACGAGGTAAAATTTCAATTGGATCTGTAATTTCTCTGTGTCTTACCCCTGGATCCTCAGCTGTGCAGGCTCTGAGGGTGTTCATCTGGCTCTCAGTGATGTCCTGCAGATCCACCTCCTCAAGGGTGCACTCAAATCCCAGGGTGTTGGATTCCTGGGGTGAAAGGGAATAAAAAAGGGTCCTTTTTTATTAAAGGGTCATTTTATTATTAAAGCTTCACAAGGCAATTTCTATATTTTTATACATTTATCTGTAATAGACACAGTTTGATACACAATTTCATGTATCTGTGCTCAGATGAACCCCAGGAATGAGGCTCTGTGAGGTTAAATATGAAATACAGGAAATAGTTTGGGGACCATCACTGACATCCTGGGGCCACCACTGACGTTCTGGGGCCACCACTGATGTCCTGGGGACTGTCACTGACATCCTGGGGACTGTCACTGACATCCTGGGGACATCCCTGCCCTCCTGGGGACCAAAACTACTCCAGCATTTCCCGGTTTGGTGTCACCAGTGTCCCATCCCTGCTGTCCTGGGTGTCACCACTGTCCCATCCCTGCCCTCCTGGGTGTCACCACTGCCCCATCCCTGCCCTCCTGGGTGTCACCACTGTCCCATCCCTGCTGTCCTGGGTGTCACCACTGTCCCATCCCTGCCCTCCTGGGTGTCACCACTGTCCCATCCCTGCCCTGCTGGGTTCTCAGCAGCCCCTGGCTGCCCAGCTGGTGCCTGGGGACCATCCCTGCTCTCCTGGGACTGCAGTTACCCATCCCTGCCTGCCTTGGTGCCATCCCCACCCTTCTGGGTGCCACCACTGGCTCCTCACTGGCCTTTGGGTACCTTCACTACCTCTCTGGGTACCACCCCTGCTCCATCCCTGCCTGGTTTGGTACCACCCCTGCCCCATCCCTGTCCTCCTGGATACCACCCCTGCCCCATCCCTGCCCTCCTGGATACCACCCCTGCCCCATCCCCTCTCTCCTGGGTACCACCCCTGCCCCATCCCCTCTCTCCTGGGTACCACCCCTGCCCCATCCCAGCCCCGATATCCCGTCCCGTTCCCCGCTCACCTTCAGCCGCTGCGGGGCGGCGTTGGCGGCTTCCAGCAGCTCCCGGGAGCGGCTGAGACACCGGGCTGGGGGGTGGCAGAGGCGGGCCGGGCTGGGCAGTGCCCGGGCCGGGGGCAGCAGCAGCAGCAGCGCCAGCCACAGCAATGCCCGGCCGGGGCCGCCAGGCAGCGCTGCCCGCCCGCTCCCGGCGCCATTCCCGCCGTTATTCCCGGAGTTATTCCCGCTGTTCCCGGTGCCGCTGCCGGCTCTCCCGGTGCCGTTCCCGCCCCGCTGCATGTCGCTGCCGCCGGTCCCCGCCGGGGACAGCTCTTATAGAGCAGCAGCGGGAGTTCCCCCGCGCCGGGCGCGCTCATCCCGAGAGCGGCGGCGCCGGGAATCCCGCAGGGCTGGAGATCCTTCCTCGGCCTCTGCACAAAGGGCTTCCCGAAAAGTGGGGTTGGTTCGGGTCAGTGCGAGGCACGGGGATAAACTTCCACGGAATCACAGCGTCGTGGCATGGTTTGGGTTGGAAGGGATCCTTGAAGATGCTCTCATTCCAGTGGCAGGGATTCCGCTGTGCCAGCCTGGCCTTGGGCACTGCAGGGATCCAGGGGCAGCCACAGCTGCTCTGGGAATTCCATCCCAGGGCCTGTCCTCCCTCCCAGCCAGGAATTCCTTCCCAAAATCCCACCTAAACCTCCTCCTCTCTCAGTTTGAAGCCGTTCCCTCTCTGTTCTGTCACTCCATCCCTTGGAAATCATCTCTCTCCAGTTTTCCCATTTCTATTCTTTATCCGGCTTTCCTCTCAAGGAAAAAGTGACAGGACAAGAGGAAACAGCCTCAGGTTTCACCAGAGGAGCTCATGTTGGATATCAGGGAATATTCCTTCATGGAAAGGGCTGGAAGGGGCTGTCCACGGCAGGGATTTAAAGCCCTGGGGAGGTGGCACTTGGGGACAGGGCTCAGGGTGGCCTTGGCAGGGGTGGGGATGGTTGGACGGAATGAACTTTGAGATATTTTCCAGCATAAACCATTCCATGATTCTCTGATTCTCTAATGAAAAACTCTCACTAGTGAACATTTGTGAAAACCTGCCTGAATGTTTGATTTTGCAGAAATACTTGCATAAATCAACATATATTTCAATAATGGCTCCTATTTTTTGTGGCCATACTCAGCTGCCCCAAAAGGCTGCAGAAAACTTTTCTGTGCATTGGGACTGCCATGAAGTCACTGGGATTTTTGCTGTCAAACTGGAAGGGAGCAGGATGAATCAAGAGTTTTATATTGCATTTTCAGGTTCTTTGTATTTTCACTGTTTCCTATAAGAAGCCTGTGGCGTGTCCTGAGGCTTCTTTTAGCCCCAATACCAGCAGTGCCTCATTTTCCAATTTCTCTCTGTGTTTTCCACTCCTGCCCCGTCACTTCACCGTGGGCTGTGGTTTCCAGCTTGTGGAGGAGCCGCGGCTTCCGAGAGCCAAAAGTGAAAGAGAATTTTGGGATGTGCAGCGGGGCTGTTCCTGAAAGGTTTTGGCTTTCCAGGTTTCTCAGTCCCTGCTCCCAGCAGGACACGAGGTTTCCCAGCAGGGTCAGAGCTGGGATTTGGGTTTATTTGGGATGTATCCTGATGATATCCTACAGATCTCTCCTAGAATCCTTGCTGAGATCCCTGGAAGTGTCCCAGGCCAGGCTGGATGGGTTTGGAACACCCTGGGACAGTGGGAGCTGTCCCTGCCATGGCAGAATGGGATTTAAGGTCATTCCAACCCAAACGATTCCAGGATTCTGGGATTTCAATTGTGGTGAGTGGAAATTTTTTTCCCAATGGAAGAAGAAATCCATCTTCTCCTCCTTCACCTCAAAGCACCCTCTGCTTGACCTGGCTTAGCCTGAATGAAAAATCCCGATAATTAATATTTATATTAATCATATTAGAGCAAAAGGATATGTTTTATACATTATAATCCATTTAAATAAGAATTATTCCTTGAGCAAGTGCAGTCCCAGAGGAATGGGAAGCAGTGTTGAAATGGAATGGGAATAATTAATGATCTGTGATGCTGCTTTGTGTTTATGTCATGGAAGCATAAAATCATGGCATTTTTTAGGTTGAAAGGGACATTAAAACCCATCCAGTTCCACCTTCCACTATCCCAGGTTATAAGCTGCAGGGTGATTCAATCCCACCCAGGCTGATGGGCAGCTGGAGACAGAGATCACTGCACCTTTAAAAAATGGGAAAATACCTCATGGAATTTCTGATGGATTTCCGGATGAAATAAATTAAAGGGGTCTGATCCTATTTGCCACTCACAGAACTTGTGGAATACTTAATAATTTATTTGCCTCTGGATCATTTTTTGGGAAGATCCAAGGTCAGATTTATCACCAGAAGATCCACACTGACAGAAGCTGTTTCTGATTTGGGTTGGGAAGTGATGGCTCCATAAAACAGGGAAAAAAAGGCTCAGGAGAAACTTTCCTGGTGTTTTTGTGGCTGTTGGTTCTAATTCCTCATGTAATTCCCTGAAATTCCTAATCCCAAACCTCTGCTCTTGCTGGTGTTTCATTAGGGGGTGATTAAATGGTGTTTCTGGAACTTTCTTGGGGTGCTGGAACCTCTGAAATCCTGGCTCACTCTCCTGCATCTCTTGGCTCTTATTCTTCCCAGTTGCCACCAGAATTCCTGAGATTTCCCCACGATCCCTGCTGGTTCCTGGCTCCTGGATTCCTGGCAGCCCTGGGAGCACCCAGCTTGGGATCCCCAAATCCAGAGGTTGCTCTTTGCAGGCTCCAAAGCTCCAATCCCCTCTCCAGGGGAAGGGATTCATCCTGGGGAAGGGGTGAAGCCGCTGGGAACCCCTGGGTCAGGGCTGGGATTCCCTAAAAAGCCCTCAGGGTGCATTTGGAGCAGGGAATTTCTCCCACTGAGTTGGGAGGAGCAGAGATCAGGGAGAAATTCTGCCCTGGGAGGGTGGGGAAGCCCCAGTCCAGAGAGATTCTGGATTCCCAGAGAAATTTTGGATTCCCTGTCCCTGGAAGTGTCCAAGGCCAGGCTGGATGGGGCTTGGAGCACCCTGGGATAAGGGAAGGTGGAACTGGGTGATTTTTGAGGTCCATTCCACCCCCCAAAACCCCAAACCATTCCATGATTTAGTGTTTCTATGGAATAAACACTGAGGAGCACCACAGCACAGCCCACAGATTCAGGATTATTCCCATTCCCTGCCCATGGAACTGGGATTTAAGGTCCTTTCCCAACCCAACCCATTCCAGGATTTTAACTCCCTGTGGGTCCATCAGCCCTGTGGGGTTTGTTTTAAATTTCCACAGAATTAAGAGGAATAAAAACCTCCAGGAAGCACCACCAGGGCTGGATGGAGGGCTGCATCCCCCTGTAAATTTGGGAATCCTGCGATCTCACCCTCCCTGGGCCTGGCCCCAGAGCTGTGGGTGAGCAAGGAGGTGATGCCAGCTGTGCCCGTGGTTTCGTGGCACTTTCGGGGAGCTCTTTCTCTCTCACTTTCAGTTTTCACCCTTGACAGAATTTCTCAGCTCTGGGTGCTTTTTCTGCTCCTCATCCCCCCTGTCACCTCCTGGCTGTGGGTGCTGCAGCAGGAAAGCAGGGATGGGGAAAAGCAGGAATTTTGTCCTTGCTGGGGTCAGATTTGCCCTTTCACCTCACACTGGCTTTGCAGGTGGAGAAAAGAAAGAAATCTGATCTTGGAAGAGCAGGAGCTGGTCAGGGAGATTTTTTTCAGCATTTCTTTGATGTACCATAATTTCCCAAGTGCCATTAATGATGGAATTCTCCAAGCTGTGCCAGGCCAGCAGCTGAGGAAGCCCAGGAGATGCAGAGCTCAGAGCCTGCAGAGCTTGGGGCCACCTGGGAGCTCTGGGGTGACCCACGGGCACAGAATTCCCTGGGATCCTGTCCCAGGGCCGTGGGCTTGGCAGGAGTGACCCCCGGGAATGCTGTGCCCGGGATTTCACTGCTCCTCCTGCATGCTGGGCACTCTCCTGGCAGGAATTCACCCTGCAGGGCCAAATGTTGTGGTTTTGCCGTGCCTTGGTGAGGAGAAAAAGGGAATTAGTGCAATGAGGGATGGGAGGAGCTGACCTAAAGCAGGTTAGAGCTGCCAGAGTTCCGTGGGGAAGGTGGGGAAGGGACCTTTAGTCCTTCCCACTAAAACAAGGAGTGCAGGAAAGCCACAGGGGGAATGGATTCCCACTGCCAGAGGGCAGGGATAGCTGGGAATTTGGGAGGAAATCCTTCCCTGGGAGGGTGAGGAGGGGCTGGGGTGGAATTCAGAGCAGCGGTGGCTGCCCCTGGACCCCTGGCAGTGCCCAAAGGAGGCTGGACACTGGGGATGGGAGCACCTGGGACAGGGGAAGGTGGGAACGAGGTGACATTTTCCTTCCAACCCAAACCATTCCTGATTTTGGGATGATTCCTGGTTTTGGGATGATTCCTGGAGCTGGGGAGGGCACCCAGGTCTGCTCTGGGTGACGTGGCTCCCACAGAGGGCACAGGAATACCCTGGTTTATCCCATCCCAGGACGTGGGTGACACCCAGGGCTCCCTCTCCTTCCAGGGGCAGCTGCTGCCCGTGCAGGAGCTGGCAGAGCCCGGGAGATCCCTCCTGCCCCGTGGCTTCTGTGGCAAAAATAAACCCTGCATTTGATGCAAATGCTGCAGAAAATGAAAGGGTTTCACTCAAACCCCGTGAGCTGGGCACCGGAGCTGCAGAGCTCAGGGCATTTCCCCAGCTGGAGCTGGCTGCGAGCAGAAATAAACCAGAAACATAAACCAAACATAAACATACAACACAAATAAACCCCAGCCTGGAGGGGAAATCCCCTTTCTGCCGTATCCAGAGGTGCCTCCCATCCAGCTGTGGGGCTTTGTGGGAATCCCAAACCTTGCTGGAGCAGCCCAGAAAGGGTTGTCCAACCCTGGTGCCATCTCCCAGCCCCAAACTGTCCCTGGCCATGGACACAGGGGCTGAGTCCCCTCCCTTCCCTCATTCCAGGTGAGGGGTCTGACACACTGATGGGTTTGGAGGTTTTTTCTATCTTTAAGATTGAAAGAAATTTTCAATATTAATTTTCAATCAAAATTTTTTTCTGTCTTTAAGATTTTCTATCTTTAAGATTTTTTCCTATAGTTATTACTGGGATTGAAGGTACTTGAGATGATTGTGTTTAGCCTCAGGTGTTCATTATTTTCATTTATGTTTCAGTCTTACAGGTAGTGAGTTCTGTAGCTCTTCACTAACAAGGTACAAAATGGTTAACAATCTTTTGCTGTAAGGTTTTTTATGGTTAAACTATCTAATTAAGAAATGATACTTAATTTTTTTTTAACTCAATAACTAATCACTTAAAGCCCACAATGTGGGCTTTCCTGTTTAACTACAAAATACTACTCAAACTTATGAAGAAGAAGGGAGAAGAAGGTAAAGAAGAAGGACTAGTCTCTGGTTTAAAACATTTATTTTGTTTTATATAGATTATTATATTCTAAAACTTTAACCTTGATGTTTTCTACTTGGTGATATTGCACACTTTTAATTAATTACACACTTGTAATTCTAGTAATGTAATTCTTATCATTCCATTTTGGAAGCCTTCTCCACAGCCTCAGGTCAAATGCAGTTCTCTCCTGGGGGTCAGAGTCTGTCAGCACAGAAAGTCTGAAATTCCCAGCATCCAGAGCTCCAGCTGTGGGGATCCCTTCCCCACTCCCAAAAATCCATCTCTGCGTGGTTTGGGACTGCAGAGCCACTTTCCAGCTCTGGGTCACTCCTGAGCCAGGGTTGGTTATTCCAGCAGAATTCCCTCAGCACCCAGTGGGACTTTCCCAAACTGGAGTCTGGGGTGTCAGCCCTTTGTCCATGGTGGAACACGAAGCCAGGGAGAGCCAGAGCAGGATTTTCTCCTGGAAAAACCCAATTCCCCCAGGACAGGAGGGGAACACCAGCGGTGGGTGAGTGGGATAACAAATTCTCTCCAGCCAGTCAAAGGCACTTAGCAGGGGATGGAATTCCAGCCTTTCCAGGCTGCCTCATCCCGGTGCTGTGGGATTGCCCAGCTCCACCTGGGAGAACACCTGGGAAAATTCCTTCTCCCACAGCCCTGTCTGGAAGCAGAGGAGAGCAGAAGAGAGCAGAGGAGAGGTGACCTGAGCTGCCTGGAAGAGCCCCAGAGATCCATGTAAAACTGCAATTCCCATTTTTCAGACAGATGAGGGTGCTACACTCTCCATTTAAGGTGAGTTTCTTTCCCTAAAAATGCTTCCCTTGGGAGGCTGTGCCCACCATCACCCTGGTGCCTGGGCTTTGCTCCCAGCCCTCCGTGACAATTTCTCCATCAGCAATCCCAGCCTGGCATCAAACTCTAAAATCCACGGAGCAGGATGGGCTAGGATGGGTCAGAACCTGTGGCACCACCAAAAATTGGGATAAATTCTTTTTCATCTATCCTTTTTCTTTTGCTCCTCCACAGCCAAGAGACTTTAAGTTATATTTTCCCATATTTTCCCACTGGGAAGGAGCTGATCTGAGGGGAAAAGGAAGGGCTGATCCCAACAAGGGACTGGAAAAGCAGCTTTTAGCCGGTTTGATCCCATTTGAATTGGAAAGTTCTCTGTGCTGTGGGCACACAGATGTCCCTGCTCACCCCTGGAGCAGCAGAGGAGGAAGAGAGCCCTGCACTTGAGGCTTTCCTTTGGTTTATGGGAAGAGGGAAGAGAAACTGCCTGGGGAGAGGCGTGGGATGTGCGGGGAAGCGGGAGGGACGTCAGCTCCAGCCCAGGGAGCCCCCCCGGCCTGGAGGGGGCTTCGCTTTGGAGAGGGAAAATCTGGGAGCTGTGCACCCTCCCTGGCAGAGTGTGAGGCACAGGGATGGCCTGGGGACAGGGGACACACCCAGGGAATGTCCCCCCACCCCAAAGTGTCCCGTCTGAGCTGCCTTTGTTGTCACAGGCTCATTAGTGCTGCTCGTTTGGAGGGTGAAAAAGAAGAGTGAAAAGCCACGTGTGTGGTTTTGGTGGGATTATGGAATGGTTTGGGTTGGGAGGGACATTAAAATCATCTCATTCCATCCTGCCCATGGCAGGGACAATTCCTTTGTCCAGCCTGGCCTTGGGCACTCCCAGGGATGGGACAGCCACAGTTTCCCCTCTTCTCCATGCTCCCAGCCCACGGTGATGCCTCTGTGTCCGGGGAGAGGCTGCTCAGCACACCCCGGAGCTGCTGGAGAGGAGGAGCCTAAAAAAGGGCAGAAAATCCCAAAAAGGGGGACCCAAACCGCAGGGCTTCCCTGCCAGGAAGCAGCTGGCTCATAAAGCCCATCCCAGTTCCCAGGGGTAGAGGAATTCCCATCAGCAGGACCTTGCCTCAGGCAGGAGGAGGGTTTGGGGGTTGTTTTTTATTTAATTCAGCTCTTCAGGCACAGGTGGGTTTAGAGTGAGACTTGAAAATATTAAGGGATGTTGTGGATCGAGACCAGCTGGAGAACAATTCCCAGCCTGACATCCTGTGGGAGAGGGTTTATGCTTTTTGGGAATCAAAAATCCACCCAGGAGGGTGCAGGAGGCTCCAAGTGGGACCAAGAGCCAGGAACAAAACACAAAACCTTGCTCAGAAACCACACCAGCTCCTTGTGTTTCAGAAATATCCTTTAATCCATCAATTCCAGCATTGCCAGCACCCCTCGGAGCCAAGGAGAGCCAGAGCAGGATTTTCTCCTGGAAAAACCCAATTCCCCCAGCACAGGAGGGGAACACCAGTGGTGGGTGAGTGGGATAACAAATTCTCTCCAGCCAGTCAAAGGCACTTAGCAGGGAATGGAATTCCAGCCTTTCCAGGCTGCCCCATCCCGGTGCTCCAGAGCTGGAGGGTGCCAGGGGAGCTGTGGGATTCCCCAGGAGCACCCTGGAGCTTGTTTGCTTTATTTTGGTATTTTTTCCCTTAAAGCTGAGAGCAAACTTTGTGTATTTTGGGTTTTTTGTGCTTTAAATGCAGCAGGAGGCAGCTCCTCCCCGAGAGCCAGAGCTGCTTCCCATGGAGAAAGAGCGTCCATGGAGAGCTTTTGGGGTCAGACACTGCAAATTTGGGTGTTTTGAGGGAAAATTTAACCTTTAGAGGGAACATTTAAACCCAGCAGCTCTCCCCATGTGCAGGCAGCCACCCAAGAGCTGCAGGGAGAGCAACACCCCAATATTTCTCTATATTTTCTGCATGGATTTAAAAATAAGGAAGAAAAGGGTTGACTTTTTCCTGGGCTACAGGTGAGGGCTCCTAATCCTTTCAATTGCTAAATTCTTATTAAATTAATCCATCCCTGCTCCCTAAATTAAACCAACCCACATCCCAGCCTCCAAAGCCCGCCGAGGGCTTCTTCCAACTCTGCCCTTTCTGCAAAAAAAAGTGGGGGAAAAGTCATTTTCTAAAAGAAAAAAGTGCTTTAATAAAAGCCATTCCTGGCAAGGGATGAAATTTTAATGCAGCTGAGGCCTTTTGCAAACACCCTGAATAAGTCATCAGGCAGAGCCTTGGCTGGGATGGATTTGCCCCCAAGGAAATGAGAATTAAAAGGTAAAAAGCTGCTGGGAGCACCAGGCTGGGACTTAGGAAGGGTTGGCTGGGTTCTTCCAGCTTTAAATCCAATAAAAGAGGGATGGAGATCAATTTATTTTGTCCCAGTGTCCCCTGTCCTACAGTCAGAGTGAGGAATTCCATATTTAATCAGTTTAATTTGCTGCCCATTTTTAACATAATTATTCTTTTTATTTCTGAAATGTCATTGAAATGTTCAGCCCAGGCAATAAAATAGAAAAAGCCCACCTGGGGTGTGAGTCTGCTGCTTCCAACCATCACAAATTCAGGGCTCAGTGTTACACAAAAATCCATGAGAAGCAGAATTAGGAACTAATAAATAAATAACTCTACAAAACCCCTCTGTTCTCTCAGTTTCATGTGATCAGCAAGGCCAAAAAAAAAGGTTTTTTTCACATTTAGTTGGAGGATCCACCAGCAAATCCACGCCCTTGGCAACAAACAGACGTGTCATAGGAAACAATGGTGGTAATTTTTATTTTACAGCTTTATACAGAAAACTTCCAACTCTCTGCACCCCACCGAGTGTTAATAGCACACCTAAAAATGAATATCAGGTAGTCAACATTCCCCAAAATGTTGAGAACTGAGTAAAATGTACAGATTACTGAAAGCTACGACGTCACTACGAGGCAGGCATGGATTTTTTGTTGACTTGTATAGCACCGTCAAAAACAGGTTCTTTATTTCAAAACTACAGTGAGGAATAAAAAAGTAGTCAATGGTAAAATATCATCCAACCCAAAAAATCTCTAAACAACCAAAAATAAAGTTAAACTACCCTCTCTTCTCGCCCATGATTTATAATGTTATAAGTACTGTACAATTCTCTTTGTTTCTGTAATAATAATATTATTATTATTATTATTAAAATGCCTGATATTTAGTGGCACGAGTAAAAAAATTAAAATAAATTAAGAAGCAGAGGCCAATCACCAGACAGAAAGCTTGGGACATGGTCAATGAGCAACACTGGAACTCCCTGGACAGGACAGAGGCAGGAGGAGGGATTCACTTGGCTGGCATCTTCTCTGCCAGGTGCTTCTGCTGGCTCTCGGCGTGCCTGGGGGCAGGAGGGGGCTGTTATTCCCTGTTCTCCAAGGAAAAGCTGGAAAACCCAACCCCCTGCTCCAGCACCGAGCTGGGAATTGAGTTTTCCCAATGAAAAACACCGAGTTTTTCTGGATCTGGGTTTGGTTTGGGGCTCCTGGGATTTCTTCCTCCCTTCCCAAACTTTCACCCCCAAGTAACAGCGGGGGTAACCTCAAAACCCCCAGACAGCACATGGCACAGCCAGTGCCCCCAGCATCCCCAAAATTGCCATTTCTGAGAGTGCCAGGAGCTGCAGGGAGGAAGCAAAGCACTTCCCAGAGGGAAGGAGGAGAACCCAGGGCATGGTGGCACTGCCTCAGCCCCAGCTCCCATCCCAAACTTCCCCTCCCCACCTGATCTCCATTTTTTATCCCAGCTCTGATGCTTCAGTTTGGAATCACAGTCCTGGTGTGCTGACACCACCCAGGGCCTCTTCTTTTCCAGCTCCTTTCATCCCCAGTCTTTGCATTTCCAATGAAATATTCAGAATATTTGGGAGCATTTTATATTCCTAAAGCCCATCCTTAATTATCCTAAACAAAAATGACTCCTGAGCCTTGCTACCAGGGGATGGAGCCCTTAAGGGAACCTGCCCATATCCTGCAAGGCTTTCTGTCTTATAAATTATAATCATTATTATTATTAATTATTACATAGCTAGAAAATGGTATTATCTTTACATTATATAATATATAATATATGCAATATTATTGTATATAATAAAATTATCTAATGTACTATATTACATTATATAATATCTAATATATAATAATATAATGTCTTATTATAATATAATTATATATAATATATATAATATATATTACATTATAAAACATATTATATTATTATATATGAAGTTATATAGTTTTCTATATTATATAATAGATTATAATATAATTATATATGTATAATATATATTATTACAACTATTTATAATATCTACATTATTTTATGATTATATAAAATATATATTATATAAAAGATATAATTTTATTACTTAAATATTAATATTAATTCCTTAAATGTTAACATTTTGTCATTATTAAATATTATTATTTAAGTAATTCCAAAGCTCTCCCCCTTGTCCAGCCCTCTTGATGACAAAGACAGATCCCTGTCCAAGCTGGCCTTGGGCACTCTCAGGGATCCAGGGATCAGCCTGGAAAATCCATCCAATCTCCCAAGGAACAATTCCTTCCCAAAATCCTGGGTGGCAAAGGCTTTAATCCCGAAATCCTGCTGGAGGCAAAGCCCCAGGTGGTGCTGGCAGCAGGCTGGGGCCGTGAGGGACAGCAAGCCCTGCCTCACCTGGTGAGGTCCTCGATGTCCACCAGCATGGCGTCCTGCTCCGTGTGCAGCTCGTCCCGGATCAGCAGCAGCTGCACCAGCTCCTCGTTCAAGCCTGAGCCAGGGGAAAGGGGCTGAGTTTGGGGTGTCCTGGGCACCCCAGTTGGGGATTGTCCCCCCAAGTGTCACATCCACAGGGCTTGAAACCCCCGCAGGGATGGGGCCCAGCCCGGGCCTGGGCAGCTGGGCCAGGCTGGACAGCCCTTCCCATGAGGAATATTTGTATTTATCCCAGAGAACTGCTCTTAATTAAAGCAGGCAGACCCCAGAATAATTAAGCAATTACCACTTACTTTCTATCTGTGAGTGCAGGTCGTTGACTATCACCTGTAGCTGCCCGATGGTCATGTCCCTTAAGTCAGTGGGTTTTAAACTTCTCTTCATGAGGCATTCACTTATATGAGGCAAATGTGGCAGCTGGAAAGAAATACTCAATATTTTACTGCTTCCTTCCAATATTTTACTGTTTTCTTCCCATTATTTCTAGTTCTGAGCAGTTTGTCCCCTCAGTTTTGCATCCCCCCCCTCACAAACAGGCCAAAGGGAGTCCAGCCACCAGCACAAAGCTGGGCCTGAGGCTCCCGGGGGAGCAGGAGCAGGAATATTTGAAGGAATTGGCTCCCAGTGGAGCAGGAACAGGAATATTTGAAGGAATTGGCTCCCAGGGGATCAGGAGCAGGAATATCTGCTGGAATTGGCTCCCAGTGGAGCAGGAGCAGGAATATTTGAAGGAATTGGCTCTCAGGGGATCAGGAGCAGTAATATCTGCTGAAACTGGCTCCCAGACGAGCAGGAGCAGGAATATCTGCTGAAACTGGCTCCCAGGGGATCAGGAGCAGGAATATTTGAAGGAACTGGCTCCCAGGGGAGCAGGAATATTTGAAGGAATTGACTCCCAGTGGAGCAGGAACAGGAATATTTGAAGGAATTGGCTCTCAGGGGATCAGGAGCAGGAATATCTGCTGGAATTGGCTCCCAGTGGAGCAGGAGCAGGAATATTTGAAGGAATTGGCTCTCAGGGGATCAGGAGCAGTAATATCTGCTGAAACTGGCTCCCAGACGAGCAGGAGCAGGAATATCTGCTGAAACTGGCTCCCAGGGGATCAGGAGCAGGAATATCTGCTGGAATTGGCTCCCAGGGGATCAGAAGCAGGATATCTGCTGGAATTGGCTCCCAGTGGAGCAGGAGCAGGAATATTTGATGGAACTGAGGGTGAGGGTGGTGGTGACAGCCCTGGGCCGGGGCAGGAGTGCTCCAGATGGGATGAACAGGCTCCAGCTCAGAGCATGAGCAGCCTCAAGGCAGCACCAACCTCCAGCACCTCATTCCCTGCTCCCATTTCTCCTTCCAACCCCTTCTCCACCCTCCTGTCCACCTGCACCACCCCTGTGAGCCAGAGCCACCGGAGGTGTGGATGTCCAGGGCTGGGCTCACCCTGGGCTCACCCCGGCCCCACTCACGAGATCTGCTACCGGCGACTTCTTCCTGTTCTGCTTCTCCACCTCCACCTGCATCTTGGCCATGGGCTTTGCCATAGCCAAGGCCATCTTGGCTTCAGCCTGGAGCTTCTTCTGCCTGCTGAGGAAATCCATGTCGTCCAGGGACTCCGACTCCTCCTCCGTCGTGTCTCTGTCCGAGTAGGACGAGCTCTGCTTGCTCTAGGGGAGCAAAGAAGCCACAGCAAAGTTTGACCTATTTTTGTGCTTTTTTTCCCTACAGAAACTGTGAAAGGCATGGGTTTATTTTTTTATCTTAATCCGCAGGATTATCTTTAAAAATCAGAGTGATTCCCAGCTAGGCCTCCTTGGCTTTACAGGGAAAAAAGCAGAGGAGCCCAGCAGATCAGAAGGTGTTGAAAGGTTAAACTGGAGGGAAACACTTGGGGCTGTGGTGTTACACCCAAAAAGGAATGCTGGATCCATGCAGGGAAAGGGAAAGGGAAAGGGAAAGGGAAAGGGAAAGGGAAAGGGAAAGGGAAAGGGAAAGGGAAAGGGAAAGAGGAAAGGAAAGAAAGGAAAGGAAAGGAAAGGTTCACATGAAGGCATCAACTCTACAGCAGCAGGGGAGGTTTTTTATCTGTCCCTCAGCATCTCACACTTTACTGAGGGCTGGAAATGCTGCTCTGGGGTTTGGGGTTCTGTTTTAACAGGCTCAGCCTGCTCAGGGATCCCCTGTGTTTGTCCTGCTGCAGGCTGAGGTGCCAGACCCACCATGGGTGACAAGGGCGTGTCCAGGCTGGTCTCTGTCTTGCTGTCATCCCCGTCGCTGTCCTTGTCGCTGCCGCTGTCGTTGACAAAGCAGATCTGCAGGTTCATCCCGCTCTGTAGCCTGGGGGAGCACGGGGACAGGTGACACTGCCGTCCCCTGGGGCTGGGAGTGCCACCAGCTCAGCCTGGAGCTCGGTGTCACAGGGCTTCTACCACCATCTACTGATAAACTGCAGAATTACCCCCACACTGCAGGGACTTTCGATTATTTTTTATGGTCTTTATTTCAGAAGGTCATTATTATTTTGATTACTCAGATTAAATAAAATCTATAAAATACAATAAAAGATATGGAATGTGTTACTATGAAAAACCCACAAAAATTATTTATAAATAAAGAACGAAAAATTACAGAGAAATGTATAAAGGTATAAATAGCATATATAATAATATATAATATAAAATATTTTGTCAATGGTGGAATTTATTTATTCACTGTTAGTTTCCAAGACACTCCTGTAACACAAGAGTTTATTCTGGTGTTTTCCAGGCCCCCCTGCTCCACTGCTGAATTGGGATTGATTAAGCCCACCCATATTCCCCTCCCCAGGAATGATTTTCTCTGGATGCAGGATCAGGGAATCCTGCAGGCTGAGAGGAGGGAAAAGCCCAGGTGAGGGATCCCAATCCATCCTCACCTGCTGGAGATGGAGAACCCCCAAATCCTGCTATTCCTCATTTCCAGTGTGCTGGGAGCTTGTATTGCTCCTTGGGAATAGCAAACTCCTATTTCCCATTTATTTCTGTGGGGTTTATTAGTAACCACTACCACAAAATAAACAGGATTAATAATTGTTTGTTAATGAACAAGTGAAGGTGGTGAGATCCTGGCAAGGAAGCTGTGGCTGCCCCTGGATCCCTGGAACTGTTCCAGGCCAGGTTGGGCAGGGTTTGGGATAGTGGGAGCTGTCCCTTCCCATGGACAGGGAATTCGGGATCAGGAGCTGGGGAGGGACACAGGGGATGAAGGTCTGGGAAGGACACATGGAAGGATGAAGCTCTGGGAAGGGACAGGGAGGGATGAGCTCTGGCCAGGCTAGGGCACAGGAAGGAGACGTGTCCCACCAGCCCCACCACCAGGCTCAGCACGTCCAGCATCTCCCAAGCATTCCACACTTGGGTCAGCCACAGAGCACATCCCGCTGGGAACCCCAGTGCATCTCTCTCCACATGGAACCAGCCTGGTCTGGGTTGGAAAGGACCTTAGAGGGCATCTGACTGCACCCCAAACTCGCTGATAGATATTTCCTGGTAGACTCCCCAGTATCTGTACCTATATCCACACACAGCCACCTCCATCAGCACCTTCCTCTTCCCTGAGCAGCTTCCAACCCCACAAAAATCCCTCTCCTGCCAGCGTGCTCAGGGATGGATTTGGAACTATTGCCATCAAATTATCCCTGGGTTTAAAAATGTATTTTATATATAAATATAAATATAAATATAAATATAAATATAACCACAAACACAACCATAAATATAAATATAAATGTAAATAGAAATAGAAATACAGGAGTTTTAAAATAGCAATCAACAAAATTATTTGCAATGAATCCCTGATCAATAACTGTGCAATCATTTGCAATAAGTGCAAATTTCAGCTCCAGATTCAAAATCTCCCCCGGTGTCTGTCACTAATGGGTCACGTGCCAACACTGCCAACAAACTCAGGAAGTTATTGATGGAAGAAACACTTGGAAAGCCTCAAACATTTAATTATAAAATAACACTTAATACTCAATCCAGAAAACACAACAAAAAGAAATAGAGCAGGCAAGGCTGGGCTACTTCCGTGGGGTTAATTCATGGAATTGTGCTTCCCATATCCCACCTCAGGAAAAAATAAAGCACTTTTTGTACAAGGAAGTGTGACAAAATGCAAATTATTCACCTAAAATAACGAATTATTTAATTCCAGCTACAGTGCTTATTATACACATAATTACCCTGCCCATTAAATTGTCAATCCCTTACCAAAATAATTCATTTATAACCTAAATGCTTTTATGTCAAATCCTTAAAATAATAAAAATAAACCCCACAACACCAAGTGGTACAGAGTTTTTGGGCTGAGCTCCAGGTTTCTGAAGTTTTACCCAGACCACTGTGTTTTTAGGTTTCAATAATCAATACCTCAATCACATGGAGACAGATTTAGGATTAAAAATAGCCAACCCTGCTGGGGAGGGCAGAACAGGAGAAAAAAAAAGAGGAAAAATGAGTGAAAATAATTTTTAATGCGCTGGAAGCAGAAGGAGGGAGGTTGGTGCCAGCTCCTCGTGCTGCCCGTCTCAGGGTGCCCTTGGCTGTGCCACTGCACCAATATTCCATCAAGTCCTGGAAATTTCCCTTTCCCAGCTCAGAGGATCCTCTCCCACACCTTTCCATCTAAATTTGATTTTCCTTGTGTTCCAGCCGAAATCCAGCCCACAGAGCATCCCCACCTCCTCCGTGAGCACCCAAAGCTGCTCCTTTCCCACTAAAATCCAGGCAGGATTGGACATTTTTCCTCCTTTCTGTCTCTCCAGATCTGTTTTAATTTTGCTGTTTCCCACTGCTCCCAGGCTGACAGCTGTACATTTAATCAACATGCAATTTGTTTTCTCCACCAGGTCATTAATGAGGATTCTCAGTAACTCTGCTCCCAGGACTGAGCTGGGAATATCCCATTTTCCAAGGCAGGCTAACGACCATAAAGAAATCCAGAGTCCTATTTGTTATTATAAAATGGGGAGCAGTTAGTAAGAAATAAAATATACCTGAGGGAACTGGACTTTAGGCTTTGGATAAATTACCTGACAGCTGCACTCAAAATCCAGAGCTGGGTATGAAAAAATGCAAACGGAGAGGGGAAACAGCAAGGTGGGTTTTGACAATCAAATATTCTGACTTGGTATAGAAGGAATAATGGGTCAAATCCTCAAAATGCAAAGGTAACTCCAAAGAAAACATAACCCCATGGTACCTAAATGTGTATTTTGGCACTGACCCAAAAAATAAAAGTATTTCTGCTCTGTGCAGAGCTGAGCACAATTCAGTTCTCACAATGATTTTAAACAAAAAGCTGCTTTTGATTTTTAAGGGGAAAACAAAACAATCTGGGGCGGATGTTTTCCTTCTTCCCCTCGACCTTCCCTTCGGAAGGGCAGCAGAGCCTGGACTGGGAACAGCTCAGGCTTGGCTGGGGCTGCTCCAGGGAAAAGGGCACGTGTCACACAGTCCTGGAATCCTGGTTTGGGGTGGAAGGGACCTCAGAGCTCATCCCATCCATGGCAGGGACACCTCCCACTGTCCCAGGTGCTCCAGCCCCAGTGTCCAGCCTGGCCTTGGGCACTGCCAGGGATCCAGGGGCAGCCACAGCTGCTCTGGGAATCCATCCCAGCCAGGAATTCCCAATTCCCAATCTCCCATCCATGCCTGCCCTCTGGCAGTGGGAGGTACCTGTGTGACGGACCCAGATCCACAAAACCCTAAGTTTTATCAAAATAAAATTCCCAGGGATTGTAGTCTGAGCAAACAGATCTAGAATTTTGTTCCATACACCCCTATTTATTTCCCCATAACCCCCTGTTTATTTCGCATACACCCCTGTTTATTTGCCCTTTAGAAACAGCTTTTCAATACGTAGCCATAAATTTGTGTTTCAACTGACTGAAGTCCAATAAGCAATTCCATGATGGTTTTTACAACCCCATTCCCTTAAGTGACTTCTCCTTTAGCACAAATAAATGCCAAGGAGATGACAGGGAAACACACAACATTAATGAGGTACAGAAATCAGATTTGTTTCTCATCTTGAAATTTGAAGACGATTTCAAGACTTTTAATTTGTAAAAATAAATCATAAATTCCCCTGTTAGGGAGGTCATAAATTTCTGTTTCACTTGTAGAACAGTAAAACTTTAATGACACCAGCTGTGATTGCTAAAATAAAATCACTCAAATACCAGCTTCAAATGTACTCTGATATTTTTAAAGATTCACGGAATGCTTTGGGTGGGAAGGAACTCAAAGATCATTTCATTCCCATCCCATTCCCATGGCAGGGACACCTCCCACTGTCCCAGGTGCTCCAGCCCCAGTGTCCAGCCTGGCCTTGGGCACTGCCAGGGATCCAGGGGCAGCCACAGCTGCTCTGGGAATCCATCCCAGCCAGGAATTCCCAATTCCCAATCTCCCATCCATCCCTGCCCTCTGGCAGTGGGAGCCATTCCCTGTGTCCTGTCCCTCCATCCTTGTCCCCAGTCCCTCTCCAGCTCTCCTGGAGCCCCTTCAGGCCCTGGCAGGGCTCTGAGCTCTCCCTGGAGCCTTCTCCTCTCCAGGGGAACATTCCCAGCTCTCCCAGCCTGGCTCCAGAGGGGCTCCAGCCCTGCAGCAGCTCCATTCTGGCCTCTCTCCAGCATCTCTACATCCTGCCCTGGCAGCATCCCATCCCCATCCTGCCCTGCCCATCCCCAGCCCTGCAGGAGAGGGGAGCAGAGGTGGGAATCCCTTCCCACCCATCCTCCAGCACCAAACACTTCAGGAGCACTGGGACACCAGCAGGAGCACTGGGACACCCAGCAGGAGCACTGGGACACCAGCAGGAGCACTGGGACACTCGGCCAGGCCACCAGGGCTATTTTTGCCAGGCTCTGTCATTCCCAGCCCAGACCAGGACTATATTTAAAGTCCCAGAGCCATAGGCAGCGTCTCATTTTATCTCTGCACTGCACAAGGGCTATTCTGGGATTTACAAACAACCTAGGATCACAGAAAATGTGGTTTTATCTCCTTTTTTCTTCCCAGGGTAAATGCAAACCCAAGTCAAAACTTTTTGAGCCACGTCACAAAACACCTTAAAACCCCGGAGGTTTCCAGGTAGGAGAATGCCTTTGGAAGCTTCCCCTGCTGTTTTATCAGCAGCAGATATGGAAAGAAGGAAGGAGGAAGGTTTGCCCTGTACCAGCGCTTTACAAACCGCGGATCCTCCCTGCTCCAGCCCCCCAATCCCACCGGCCTGGGCGGGATCCGGGCAGCATTCCCGCAGCATTCCCGCCCGGTGGCGCACACAAAGGCTCCTTTCTGTCCCTTTTTTGTCCCTTTACCTTTTTATAGCTGCCCTCGGCGGGCGGCGGGG